CATCAGACACCGAAACCAAAGATCGCAAGTCTGAGAAACTGCAGCCACCATCGACGTCCTCAGGACACCACTGAATGTATTTGCTTTAAGAAAAAAAACTGTTAGCACTTTTATTCTTTGTTGTGATTGTGAAAAAGTTATGTTTGATTTAAGCATTCAGCAAGGTGGAAGTAATATTTTGATCGATTTTACAAAGTGAGGGACAAATGATTTGACATTTTAAAAACCAAATCAAACTGCTAAACAGGAGTGGAGCTTGAATCATGCCTTGCTTTGAGGTTGTTTTCTATTTAGTTTTTTTTTTTGTTTTTTTAGTATAATCCTCCTAACACTACAAATCACCTCCAATTACTTGACATTCCTCATATTTATTTTTATACTTACCTTCATTTATTTTATTTTATTTTACTTTACTTCATATTTTCTTTTTTCTTTTTCACAGTTTTAAAAGAGGACCTATTGCGCTTTTTCTTTCATAGATATACTATTTGTGGATGCTCATGTAAAGACAGCCAGAGATTGACGTATACAGGAGACCAAAAGCACAGGCTTCAGACTGCTCAGCTCAGTTTGAGACTTTTTTTTCTACTCATGGCTCTATGATGCCAGTTTCATGAAAATCACCTTACTAATTTTTATTTATTTTTAATGAAAAACTGCAGTGATCATATAGTTCTGCCTCGAGTCTGGAGCAATAATATGACCTGAGGCATAAGAAAGGGAACTCAGCCTTGACACTACATCTTAGTGCACTGAGATACTAGTGAAACCTTGTGAATGATTTGTGGATAAGAATAGATTACATGCATGCCATCAGGGATTTAGTTTTTTTTCGTTATTTAAGTTTTTGTTTGCAGAATTTGTGTTGTTCTTTAAAGTGACACTAGTCTTTTAGAAAAGCGTATTTGCACATTGAGGCTTTAGGTCATCAGCTAGGCAGAAGATAAAGCAGGATAGAAGAGCTGGTAATGCATTGATGTACATCTCCATTTATTAAGGAAATAAAACAACCGGCACTTATCATCAGTGTTTCCTGTGACACTGATTAAAAATAAATATTTTATTTTCTTTAATGATGACATAGCAATAGCATTATTTATATGTGCCTGTGCTGAATTAACAAGTGAAAATGTCTGAATTAAGATGTCTTAA